AGAATAGGCTATTTACAGCCTGCTCATTTTTTGCCAAACTGTAGTGAAGAAGAAACACTGCTTCTGTGCTGACTTCGAACACTTGAACAATAGAAGTGACCTCAAGCCGCTACCGGCGTAGTGTACAAAGTTCCCATGGTCCCGGACACACACACCGGCCATCGAAAAAAGCTACGGTACGCAGTGAGTAGAACAATATTAACACGTTGACGACATTGTGCAGCGCATGCGCATCACACCTTGAGCACCGTGTGGGACCGTGTGCAGCGCATGCGCTGCACACACAAAATATTTATTTTTTTTTTCGCGCATGCGCTACTTCTTTTCTATTTTTTGCATTATCTTTTAGATCACATCACAACATGACCATAAACGGTGTGGTTGACCAAAAGGTTGAATATTCTTCACTTAAGTTTTTCCTACTACTACAAGTTCTTCGGTTTGGTTCATTCTTAACTTTCTGATCACTTTCTTTTAAATATGAAAAAGAAGAGTAGTAGAAGAAGTACAGCTCTATAAGTATAGCAGGATATATGTTTCCAGGGAAGCAACCGCGTCAAAAATATTTTTGAGGTCCACTACAGCGAAAACAACTGAAACTTGTATTTTTATTGACATCACATCATTGCAAATCATCCCAACCCGTCCCTTAAAGACGAATTCGTTAAATCTTACATTTTTGTATTCGCCAAGCTCCCTGGTCAGAATCGGTAGTTTTCATCGTGACAGAAATGAGAATGAACATCAGCGTATAATTTAAAGAATCTTCCCCGAAAAAAAAATCATGATTCCATCTCATAAATCACTGGCTTGAGACCCATCATCACGATAAGAACGAAAAGAACAAAAAATTGTTTGTTGGTAAACAATTCGAAAAACCGGAAGGACTGCTACGCGTTCAAATTCCCGCCGGACATCTGTCACAAATGCTGGCGGCGGGAACGCTTCCACTTGGTTCTCGGAGTGCCGTCACTAGAAACTCTTTTGACCTTTTGACTTATTGCACTGACATCTCACACTTCTACTGCCTCCTATTCTATCGATTGTTTTGTCTCTATTCTCCATATATGATCGCGTTCATTAACATCTTTCAATGTGGCCCTAATACGTGGCCGCCCAAGGCGCACTTGTTTCCATGTGTTGCGCGCGACCTACCCTCGACCGTCCATGGTGCGTGGTTATCGTGTTTCTCTTCGGTATCTGAATTTTCGTGCGCGAAACTAGAATGTTGTCTCTAGTGATCACAACTGATATATTCATGCTGGTAAGGAATGCAAAAATTCTCTGGGAAGGATTCCATTAAGAATGAAAACAACTGTATGTATATAAATAACTAAATCCGGTTCACTCCTAAAATAGCCTTTTACTTCTTAGCGGCATGCGGCGGGTGGTCCAGTGCAAAAATAAAATTTACTGCTATGTCGCTAGCCGATAGTGGTTCTGAGCTGACGATAGGATTTATTAAGTGCAGTCCTTGAGTTTGTGGAAGAGATTTTCAAAGTCGTTGCGTACCTTTCAGATACACCTTATTTGTACGCGCATGTTTTTCAAAAATGAATATTATATGTATAGTTCTGGTCTGTTCTAGATAGAAGCATGGTGATGTGTCGAGGAAATGGTATATAAGCGACACAACATCCCTCCGTCGACTCCCTGAGAGCAGGGTCTACAACTCCTGCCCCATCAGCACCAATCATGGCAAAATGTGGAGAGGTGATCATAAAGGATAAAGGATAAAGGATAAAGCATTTGCCGTTGATCAATCCCTTTTTGGGATGCGGCACGCATTCTACTTCCATTTGTACATTCGTAGTGGCGTTTGAATGCGATGTGGCCTATACAATGACTTGCGGGGGCCAGCCGATGTACAAGTCAGTGTTTTTATCCTCCCAGACAAGTCTGGTACCAATTAACCGACCCCGGAGGGATGGAAGGCTTGGTTGGCCCGGGCGACTCACGACCCAGGATTTGATCCCCGGACCCGCTCGCGTGGTGAGCGCGCCACTTGTCACTACACCACTTCCGCCCAAGGTATATAGTTCAAAAATGAGGAGACTGGGATCATATTTCAAAGTCTTCAGGTTCAACAGGCAAAGGTGAGAGGTACGGTAGACAGAAGAAGCTTAAGTAAACCTCTCCCTTACCACATGTCATCAGCGCAGTGGCGCATTACCTTGGATGAACCACAGCATAAGAGTTAATGGCTACCATTACAAAATAGTTAGAAGCGATTGCAAAGAGAATGTTGGAGGCGCTCGTAGGAGAGGCTTGCGGGGATGGGGGAGAGGGATTCAGAAGTATCCGTATCATTTCGTATGGAGAGCCGCTTTCGATGGGGAATTTCATGTGTCGGTCGATTTGGTAAGCGAACGACTGTGGAGCATTATCGATGATAATAGTTCGAGAAAGATCTCGTCCAAGGATGGAAAGATCCTTGATGTAGTTGCCATAAACGCAAACACAGTGCTCTCGGAACAGTCGGTGCCTTACCAATCGTTTTTGTGGATCAAGCAAGTTCTGAAATATAATTTTTAGTTGCTCCAGTAATTTCAGTATACCAATAATAAAGATTCCTTTGCGTTGTAAATAGACTCCTACCAACAGGTTGTGTCATTTTGTCAGATAATGTCCTCGTTGCGGGCGCGTAAGAGAAGGGATGAGTTTCGATAGTATGTGCCATCGCTGGGTCGGGAATGGAGCGTCGGTGCACGGATGGCGGGGTTCGGTCGAGCCTAATAGTCGCGAGGCGGGGTCGCGGAGGCCTATACTTGGAGAGCAAGGACGGTAAGGTGGTAGATAGTGGAAGGAACGGGCGAGCGGGTACCTCGTATGTGTGTCTGAAAGGTGCGACAGGGAAAAACGCGGATGCGAGGCGGCTCAGACAGAGGTGGGGACAAGAGCTGGCAGTGAGAAAGGAAGTTGTGCATCTGGCGGAAGGGAAAAGGGAGTATCACGAGGTGAAACGATGGCAAGACGGAACAGAAGTGCAAAAGAAGAAAGAGGAGAAAACGCACCAAATCCAAAAACAAGTGGTGGATTAGGGAGTGGCCGTGGTTCGCAATGGCGGTGCGGGGCGAGGCGAAACCTGCGATGTGTCGATGCGGGTAAGCGGTGTTACATTGTGGGCTAGGCCATAGCAATCGCTGGAGCATGGATCGAGCAGGCGTATGAGTGGTCCGAAACAAGTGGCTGGCACAATGGTATGGATATCAGCGGAAAGCTGCGTACGACGTGAGCTGGGCGTGTTGCGAGCAGAAAATTCGTTACAGAGACGTATTAAGGTTTTTCGGAAGGGGTGGGGGTCGTATTCTGGCTTTTGGTATTGGTGGTGATGACATGGGAGGCTGTATTTGAGATTTTCGAAGGTTTTGGAGACGAATGTTGGAGATCGTGTTGGAGAGAAGGAGACAAGGTGGTTTTCGACATTTTCGGTGAAAACTTCAAAAACGATGGACGAAATTAACAAAATAAGAGCATTTGCGCCCTAGTCGAACACTGTAAAAACAGTCATACGGTGAAGGCAGTTGTTGGGAGTGGTAGGGGGCGTATTCCTGGGCGACCCCCCCCCCCATTCCCCCTCACATTTGGTGATAAGGGGCTGTATCGCGACGCCCTTCGGAAGGGGTCTTGAAATTTCCCCAGTGTCGCAGTTGATATTTACTCAGAATTATATGTGTTTTATACGTGACAGCAGATGAGTGATGGGTTCAACGATGTCTTGAAATATTGCAATGAATCCAGGAATGAATTCTCGAGCCATGGATGGAGTTGCTACTATTTCGGCGAATCACTGACAAAGAGCGTATTGCAACAAGATCATATTACTTATATCAACACATTGGCGACAGCGTGACGTGCTGCGCGTAAGATTTCCAAGGGGATGGTAGTCGTTTTGCTCGATTTCTTTGGTATTTTCATGTTCCGAAGCTATCCGCCTCCATTATCAGATACGGAAGATAGTATATTCTCACCAGTAATGAAGTCTTTGAAAGGGTTGGTTTCCAAGAAGTACTGAAAGGAATGCTGAAGCACACGCACAACGGGCTGTCGTCAAATGTATTAATTATGTTCCATTCTATCAAACAGATATGCTGAACTTGCTGAGCGGTGAGGACACCGAAACATGAATGGGTCGTAAGCACGGAACAAAACAGTGAATACGGCGAACGGTAGAACTCACGAGTCGTAGTCGATGGCGCACGGACCGCGATGTTCTCCGATCTGTGCCTCGTCGGCCGGCGGGTGTTCGTCGACCTGCCAGATGAGGTTGTCAGCATCAGACGACGACAGCTTTCGTTTCATCGATAACAGGA